ACAAGAGCTTTGAATGTCACACAGGACCAGATGGACCTCATAGATATATACAGAACATTCCACCCTAAAACAACAGAATACTCATTCTTCTTGAGAGCACATGGAACTTTCTACAGAATAGATCACATACTGGGTCACAAATCAGGTCTCAGCTGATACCAAAAGACTGAGATTATTCCCTGCATATTCTCAGACTGTAATGCTTTAAAACTGGCACTCAATCACAAGAAAAAATTTGGAAGAAATTCAAACATGTGGAAGCTAAAGACCACTCTGCTTAAGAATGTTTAAGTCAACCAGGAAATCAAAGAAGAACTTAAACAATTCATGGAAACCCATGAGAACAAAAACACATCGGTCCAAAACCTATGGGATACTGCAAAGGCGGTCCTAAGGGGGAAATACATAGCCATCCAAGCCTCACTCAAAAAAATAGAAAAATCTCGAATTCACCAACTAACTCTACACCTTAAAGAACTAGAGAAAAAGCAACAAACGATGCCTAAGCCTCACACTGGAAGAGAAATAATTAAGATTCAAGCAGAGATCAATGAATTAGAAACCAGAAACACAGTAGATCAGATCAACGAAACTAGAAGCTAGTTCTTCGAAAGAATGAATGAGATCAATAAACCACTGGCCAGACTTATCCAGAAGAAAAGAGAAAGGACCCAAATGAATAAAATTATGAATGAAAGGGGAGAGATCACGACTAACACCAAGGAAATAGAAACAATTATTAGAAATTATTATCAACAACTATATGTCAATGAGGTGAGCAATCTGGATGAAATGGATGCCTTCCTGGAAACCTATAAACTCCCAAGACTGAGACAGGAAGAAATTGACAACCTGAATAGGCCAATAACCACTAACAAGATTGGAGCAGTGATCAAAAACCTCCCAAAAAACAAGAGTCCAGGGCCTGATGGATTCCCTGGGGAATTCTACCAAACATTCAAAGAAGAAGAAATACCTATTCTCCTGAAGCTGTTTCAAAAAAAATAGAAACAGAAGGAAAGCTTCCAAATTCATTCTACACCTTGTTCTTTGAGAGATTTATTGAAATTAGTCTTTAGCCTGTAATCTGATTTTTGTGTTAAATAATCTGTTTACTAAATGTATTATTCATTTTATTATTCACATATTCATAAGATACAAACACATACTTATATCTTTGTTTTTTTCTGTTTGCCTGGAGTCTAAGACATGAGCTAAAGTTTTCAAATTTTGTTTTTATTCCTCATCATTTTCTCTTTTTAAGTCTATTAACTCATGCATTTAAAAAATGACATTTTAATCCACTTAATGGTTTTTAATTTTTTTCCAGTTTAAATTATACTTTGACACTTTTACATTATTTTTACAACCACTGTTTTCTGTTTATTTGCATTTTCCCATTATGCCTTTGTTCAACTTGTTATTTTTAAGTTAACTGGGTCATTTTGTGTTAGGTGTTTATCTTCTAGATTTTGTTTATTTAGACAGTCTGAGACCTTTTCTCTATTTTATCCCATTTATATTTATTGTCACAACAGAAATATTTTTTCTTTTGTCATTTTTATTATACAGTTTGAATGCCTTCATGTTTTTAAATATATTTTCTGTGTTCTATTTTACTTTTTTCCCCCGTGGCCCTTGCTTTTGTTTTCCTTTCAGTTATTGAAAATATAATTAGATACTTAAATCTTTATAGTAAGGTCTTCTGTTGACTTTCTTCTCTGCAGGCTGTGGCATTTATCCTTTAGCCTTTATTTCTGCAGACTTTCCCACACTCCCTACCCATTTTTGTTTCCGTGCCTCTGAAGGACCCTCTTAACTTAGTAAACCCCTCTTCCAGAGCAGTTGTCATGCTAGTGTCAGATGCTCTGTGTTTGGTGTGACTGTCATCCCCAAGTCATTTTACATAATCCCCAGGCGGCCATTTGTGTTCTTAATGATTGATCTTACCACCCCAGGACGCTGCCTCTTGGCAAGCATCACCACCTTCTCCACCAGTTCCCTGCTCTCTCATTTTAGCTGCTGGAGTTCTGGGCCCCATTGAGACCACTGGCCTCTGAATCCATTAACCTGGAATGACCACATGGGCCACAAAAAGTTTTCACGTGAAGGTTTTCCTGTTGGTCTCATCACCCATCTTACATTCTATCCACAGGCTTGAAGTCAGGAATGAAAGACAGGAGGGAGAAGGGTCCATGGTATAGGCTGTTGAAGTAGTAGAGATGAAGAGCGGTGAAGATTTGAACCAGAGCCATTGGACTGGAATCAAATTGGCTTTGGCTTACAAAATGGTTGCTTCATATGGTTCAACTTAATAGCAGAAATGGAAAGGCATGGCCAGATTTAGAAATACTAAGTCAGAATCAAAAAGAAAATGAGAAGCAAGGCAGAAGGAGAAGCCCCAGCAGATGCCCAAATCCCAGTCTTCAGTGCCTGGATGGGTCATAGGGCAACCCACTGAGGCACATATTTCAGGAAGGATGATGGGGCTCTTGGGGGAGACAATTTGATAGGGAAGCTGTTCAGATTTGTTGCATACAGACGGTGTTTGAGGGATCTCTATATAGTATCTGCATAAAAATGCAGATCTCTTAGTTGGGTGAGACTGCTGGTCAGTGAAAAGTATGGAGTGGGGCTGAACTTGGGGATTGTCGGTGAATTGGCAGCCATTGCAGGGTGTGCTCAGTAAAAACATGAGTAGAGGAACCTGACATTTGAGGGATAGATGTAGGAGGAGAAGTACTTACAACGGAACCTATGGTAGTATATATAGTCCCAGATCTGTGAGGAAAAACCATGAGAATGAAGTGTCACTTGAGCCAAAACAAGACAGATCCAGAAAGGGAGAAGCTACAACCATTGATAATTGTAGAAAAATGGTCAAGTATCAATAATAATTATTGGCAAACATTGAGTACCTACCATGTACCATACATTGTTCTAAATAGTGTATTAACTCCTTTAATATGACAACTTATCCAGTAAAGTGGACACTATAATTATAGATGAGGAAACTGAGGCACAGAGCAGTAAGATAACTTGCCCAAATTCACACGCTAGTGAGTGGTGTAGCCAAGACTGGAACCCAGGTATTCTGATCCAGAGCCCAAGCACTACAATATCTTCCTTCTTAAGATAAGGATTGAAAACTGTCTATTGGATTTAGCAACTATGAAGTTATTGGTATTTGCCATGAGAGCAGTTCTGGGGAAAGTGTTGGGGACAAAATCCAGATGATAGTGGGGGGGGTGTAGTTTTGTAGTGGGAAGTAAGGGAGTGTTGAGAGTGAGTGTAGATAAAACTGTTGAGAATCCCACATGTGACTGAAACACAGCTAGACTGTGCTGGAGCAGAACCTGCTGGCCAAGGGTAGCTTTTAAGAATAAGAGAAGCCCCAGCATTTACGTGTGCCAAAATCAGGGATAAAAGAGTTCAGAGACACAGGATAAAGAGAGAGAACCAAGAAGGACCAAGAGCTGGAACAGGCAGTAGAGATGAGGAGGGGTCAAGAGCTCCGGCACGCCTTGAGGAGAGGAGGCAGTGGTTGGTTGTGGTAATCTGAGGTGTAATCTAACCTCTGATCGATGGACAAGAAGTTAGAAATCAGCCCCTCTCCTGTCCCCTTACCTGTTGAAGATGTGCTGTGGGTGTGTGCTGGGATTAGGTGGGTGATGTTGAAGGGGGACATTTGTGTAGGGCACAGCAGTGGAGAAGGCAGGTTTGCAATAGACTTGTCAAATTTGGAATGAGGGTGTGAAAGAATTAGGGCTTTGAGTGAGACCAATGTGGATGGTTAGCCAGCGCGGTGGGGTGGCCCTGGGCTTGCTGAGAATACAGGAGGTCTGGGCCATCATATAGACTCTAGGAAGGGTGAGGTCCAGGGTACTATGTGAGCTGCAGGAGCAGGTTTAAAAGGAATGAGGGGCAGGAGGCCGTGTCAGAATACCGGTGGATGGAACTTCCGGGTTTCTCGAGTGGACAGGGATGTGGATGTGGCTGAAGCTGGTCGGGAGATAAAGACCATGGAATTAGGGAGGTCAAGGGCACTGGTCACGGTGTTCACATAGGCAGTCACATCTCCTAGGCGAAGTTAGATAGTGGGTGGCAAGGAAAGCTGTTAACTGAGTTTTAAAAGCTCTACTGAAATACACGGTTTGGGTGAGAGTCAGAATGGAGAATTCAAAGAACTTGTTGCCTTTGGATTCCTGGATACCAACATTTGTGTATGGGGCTTATCTTCAAGAGGTGTTATAAAGAAATTCAAGATGGGAGAAAGAGACAAACCAAGAAACAGACTCTTAACTATGGAGAACAAACTGATGGGGGTAGGAGGGAATGGGACCAGAGAGGAGAAGGGGGGCTGGGGGGGATCGGACAAATAAGGGATGGGGGTCGAGGAGTGCACTTGCTGTGATGAGCACTGGGTGTGGTATGGAAGTGTTGAATCACCGGTGGTGTTGTACACCCGAAACTAACGTAACACTGAATGTTAACTGTATTGGAATTAAAATTAAAAAAAAAAAATTCAGATGGCATATATTCCTGGGGGATGTAGAATCAAATCAGGGTAAACCCTCTTTGGCTTATGGTAGCTTCCAAGGTAAGCTCCTCTGTCACACTTCATAAGAAAGTTGGGGTATTAGGAAGTAATTCTCCTCTGTGCTTCACTTGAAACAACAATGAAAAAGGTGCAGATTGGGGTTTCAGGCCATGTTTGGGTTGTTCTTCTGCATTCAAGCGTTATTTCTGAAATCCATTAAAAATGTTCTATGTGGCTGACTCTTCTTTTGCTGGTTATTAGAATGTGGCCTTTTGGCCTTTTTTTTTAACCCTGTTTTGAAAATCCGAGTCCATTGCCAGGGTAGTGTACAAGGCTAATAGAAGGCCTCTTTGGGAGGTTCTGGTGGGAAGCTGAAACATAGAGGGTTTGGGGGCTGGGCAGCTTCCTGTGATGCCTACAACTACTTCTGCGAAATTGACTCCCACCCTGTGTGTTGCAGGTGATATTTGAATCCGTCTCTTTGAAGGGTCATCCTGGCTACATCGCTGTGGACGAGGTCCGGGTCCTTGCTCATCCATGCAGTAAGTCTGCTCCCTCCTCCTCACACAGCCCCACTCCCTGCCAGACTGGGGAGCTTGGAGCCTGCAGTCCCCACCATTCATTCAGCTCACAACCATCTCTGGCTCTCTCTCTCTCTCTTTTTAATCCTTCAGAAATACTTACATACTCAATGCAATCAGTCCTGAATAAATTTGTAATTTCGCTGGCCCGTTCAACAGGCAGCACCTACAGGAATTTGCAGAGTGGCAAAACATCGTTTGAATCTCTCTCCGTCATTAAGGGAGTCTAAAGTCCTGATTGTTTATTAGTGGGATTCAGACCACCGAAGTGGAAGAATTAGACGGCTTTGGATAGAATCTTGTGCAATTGTCTTAAAAAAAGAACTACACCAAAACACTGAGCAAATTAGTACACTGTTCACTCACAGGGAAAAGTACCCCAAAGCTATTAATTCTTTAAAAGTAATTTTAAATACACTCCTCAGCTCTGTGTAGGCATCGGGAGAGTTTTCTCACAGCAGTTAGTGCTCACGGTCCAGTGTCAAGAGTCCTCGAAGGCATACCGCTCCTCTGTGCCCATCCAGTCTCCCCTTCGAAGTTCGCTCTCTTTGCTGTGTTTAGCCTCAGATATCTCAACGTGTTTGTGCAAGGACCCGCGGTTCCCAGTTCCACGAAATCCCAGAGGGGAGTTGGATGGCATCCTATCTAGTGACATTTGGTTGGGAGGGGCTGTAGTCAAAGGAATATGCATGGGGGTGATGGCCTTCCCCAGGAGGGCTAGCTGGGATACCAGCCCCATTAGTTTGTTAGCATTCTGCATATTGGAGATTCCCATTAATTTCTTGGCAGCCGGCTAGTTCCAGGTAACTCCGGGATGGCTCGCTGTACTCCCTCCTTGTAGCCATGAGTCATGCTCTTGGCCGTGGTGCAGTTTGCTATTTCCTCAAGAAGTGTCATGCCCCTTGTTGTTAGAGGCCTTTCAGTCCTTTCATTTTGGGGCTCTTCTCATGTCCTCCCCATCCATGTCGTTTAATTGAAACGACACTTTCCACTTCTGCTGCAATGAATTTGTTAGAACCTCGAACACCACTTCCTTCCACAGCACTAGGATGCCAGTTGTTTGACTCATTGCTTAGAGCACCTCTCTGAAGGAATTTGGAACAGGGTCCAAGGGGTTTTGCCAAGGCAGTGTTTGGGATCATTGTGTTTTGTGTCTGTGCAAGGGAACCCTTCTTCCCTGAAACCAGCCAGCTTCTCAGGAATGCTGAGGTCATACGAGATTCTTCATTACTCTGGCCTGAGGTTCCTGCCCTCTGGGTTACTTGCTGGGTGTTTGGGATTTCCTTAGGTGGGTCTGTCCGTGCAGTCATGCCTGCTGAACCAGACCTCATGTGAAGAGGGTCCCAGAAATCCCCCCAGCCATGCAGTGGGAATTTTCACCTCTGCTGTGAGGCCCAACCTGATTCCTGTTCCTTATTCCAACCTCAACTCTGCCTTAACTCCAAGCACTCTTGCCTTAACTCCATGCACCATTTATATAGTAGATAGGCAGTTAATCCAACTCACCCGGATTAAGCCTTCCCCTCCCTGGCCTTCTGGGAATCAGGATTAGCTGCCCATTAAAGAATGACCTTTGATCTCAGCCTGGACAACTGCTGCAGGACGTGTTTGCCCTCCCTGTGGTCCACCTAACTCCACAGACTCAGCTCTGCCCAGCTGCCAGTTTTGAGGTGGTCTCTGTGAGGCAGGGTTCAGTTTCTCCAAGCCCTGCACACATCCCATCCTTGCTGGGGGTGTTCACCTCTGCTGCGTCCAGCTGCATCCCTGCTTCTTACCCTATACTTGGTTTTTCTAGTAGGTGACTTTTGGCCCTTCCCAGGAGAATCTGGCCTGGCTCTCTTGTCGGGGATCCCAGATCTCTCTACTCAGAGTGTGGAATTTTCATCTCTGTCATGAGGCCCAACCTGATACCTGTTTCAACCTCAACTCTGCCTTAACTCCAAGCACTGGTTTGCCGTTAAAGCCAAATGCTTCCTTCTCTCTGAGAAGTCTGTATGGGAAAGGGTTCTCTGGAGGGTGTTTAGATGCCTTTACACCCCCCCTTGAGGTCCCCCCACCACCACCTCACTGGGGCTGCTCCTGAATTTAGGATTCTCCTGACAGCCTTGTATTCCTCCTGCTGAGGAGTATGGATTGCATGGTTATGAAATTGCTGAGGGCCAGTTAGCCAGCAAATGGGCCACAGGATATAACTCAGAAGGACGTGACTCTGGCTGTGTTGCTGGGTAATGGGAGTACAATGCAGAGTTTAGCCTCGATGCTTAGGCGGCTTGGGCTTAAACTCCCCAGAAATCAAAAAGTGAGGACCCTGTGATAGTGGCTGGAATCGGAAAAATTCCATTGAACAGTATGTACAAATCCTGGCGGTGCGTATAGTCTGCAGGGGTCTGTGTACACAGCTCCTGAGTCACATGCAGTTGAGCGGTGCCTCGCAAAGGCCCCTTCTCCAGTTGGGTGCTCAGTCCACAGCCACTCCAGCTCTTCACTCCTACTTTCTTTCAACAGGTAAATTATTGCACATTAGCTATGTGTCAGGAACTTGCACTGGACATGGGGGGCACTTTAGTCATCAAGTTGGTTAGATCCTTGTCTCCATGGTGTTAGCCGAGTGGCAGAGGGAGGAAAGCCACTCAGTAAGTAATAGTAAGTAGTAACAAATGTAACTTCACATAGTGATAGCGTGGTGGAGAGAATAAATGTGAGTTGCTGGGGTTGGGGAGGGCTCCTTAGGTAGAGAGGGCAGGGGCTGAGTCTGGGCACCTGTGGTCTCAGCTGACACCTGAGTCCCTTGTGAGGTGATCTAGGGAGGGGGCAGGCCAGGCAGAGGAAACAGCAGGTGCAGAGGCCCTGCAGTGGGAATTCACAGGTGTTGCCAGAGTAGCTAGAGTGTAGGGAGCATAGGGGAAAAGGGTCTGAGTGAAGGTTGGGGAGGGAGGCTGAGGCCAGGCCACAGAGGGGCTGAGTGTCTCAATGAGGTTAGGCTTTAATCAAAGCACAAGGAGGCGCCCCTGGAAGGATTTTTCCTAGGGATTGATTTGATCTCATTTAAGTGTCTAGAAGATCACTTTGGCTGCTCTGCAGAGAATGAGTTGAAGGGGAATAGAGAAGCCAGGAGACCAATCAGGAAGGAAGTTCTGGAGTCATGGAAGAGGTAGGTGGTGGTGGCCTGGGCCAGGCTGGTGGAGAGACGTCCATTCATCGTTTGGCATGTGTTTACTGAGCGTGTACTCCAGGACAGGCACTATTCTGGGTTTATGCACATTCATTCTCTGTCCTTGTGGGCTTCTGTTGAGATGGAAGACACTGGAAATGAAACAGGTAATTAATTATATGATCTATAACAGGGTAAATTAGTTGGCTAAGGCTGCCATACAGAATGTTACGTGCTGGGTAGGCTTAAACAGCAGAACTGTATTTGCCCACAGTTCTATAGGTAGAATTCCAGGATGAAGAGAGCAGGGTTGGTTTTTCCTGAGGCTTCTGTCCTTTGCTTGCAGCTGGCTGCCTTCTTGCTCTGTCCTTACATGGGCTTTGCTCTGTGTAGTGTTCCTGATATGTTTCTGTGTGTCCAAAACTTCTCAGGACACCAGATAGATTGGATTAAGGTCCACCCTAATAAAAGCCCTATCTCCAAATACCGGCACACTCTGAGGTGTGGAGCAGTAGGGCTTCAATATCTGAAACTTTGGGGGGGGGCACACAATGTAGTCCATAACAGATGGTCAGCAGTGCTATGAAGAAACAAAGCACAGAGATGGAGAGAGGTGGACAGATGAGAGAGAGATTTAGGAGGTGGGGTCCGCTGATCCTATTTGATGGGTTAGTTTGGGAGGCAGAGGCATCAGAAATGGTGCTCTCCTGGATTTGTGGCTCGGGCACCTGGCTGGTGCAGGCTGGGGTGGTATACGTCTCTGGAGCCTGAGTGATGCCTTCCAGCGCGCTGACCGTGCATGCATCCTGGGGCCTTGGGGGGGCATGAGTCATGCGTGCTGCTAGTGGCTTCTGCACCGTCCTTTGCACAGACAGCGCCTTTTGCCCCCAAAGCCTTCATGTGAATGCATTTATAGCTTCACTCACGGGTGCTAAAAACTTAACTATATTGAGAAACACGCATTCTCCTCAGGCTTTGTAATTCTCCACTTCCGTCCTCCAAAACATTTTTTCTATTAATATCAGGTCAGCACTTATCAATAAGCTATTCTGCTAAATATTCCAAAAGTTCCAGGGCCAGTGGGGTGGGGGGGCGGTTAGTGACTGATTTGCAATTGTATTCTTGATCGATTTGAGCTGAAGTTACCCCTTCACATGATTGCCTTCCAGCTTCCAAAGCACCGACTGACAGGCGTAATACTCAAAGGAAATTATTTTCTCTTACAAACCGAAGCCTCTTGTCTATATTTTATAGCCCATTTAACATTTTTGTGGGATTCTAAAAGTATTTTAGCCATTGTCACCCCTCTGCTGTCGTTCTCGGTGTCAGCTGTGAGCAGGGACACCACAGTTACAACCACACACGAGAAACGGCACGATTTTCCACCCGCTCTCCAAGTTTCTAGCTCCCAAGGTGACTTTTAGAATTTTTTAAACTTTTTTTTTTTTCCCCATCACAACCTTGCAGGGCCATGTCACCGAGCCCACGGAGCGTCTGCAACACGTTTCTAATGTATGTACTGCACTTTCTCCTCAATTGCGTGGCTTCCTACTGAGCGCTGTCAGGTTTAAAGAGCGAGATAAAGGGCACAGTACTGTGTGTCTCCAGATGCTTCGCTGACATCGGCAGGAGTTTAAATGTCACCAACATCAAGGTGTTTTGCCCCAAATGCACAGCCAGTTTGCTGTTACCCTCCCTTCGGCGGGATCCCACTTTGGAGGTGCTGGGTCTCAGTGGGGAGTGAGGGTGGAATGTTTAAAACCACATGCTGGAGACTGGGCTGGGCCCCAAGGTCAACCATGTTTGGCCCCAGGTTGGCAAGCGGAAGCTGGCGGGATAAATTCTTTCCCCAAGCTGTAGATGCTGGAGGAAGATCACACGGTGGAGAGAGCGTAGGGCTCAGAAGTAGACCGGAGAGAGAGAGAGAGAGAGAGAGAGAGAGAGAGAGAGAGAGAGAGTGTGTGTGTGTGTATATGTGTTTGGGTGGGGGAGAGGGAGGGTCAGAAAGGCCAGGAGCTCAGAGAAGTGGCCTGAACAGGTCACCAACATAAGGAGGCTCCCCAGTTCTGGTTAAGTTCTTGTGTTGGGAATGTTGATCTAGGGCTAGCAGTCATGTGATCCACAGCATGCTGCCTGGAGGGTTGGGGGCATCCCTGGATTTATGGAGCCAGACAAGGCAGGACCGGCCAGTGGGAATTGTTCTAGATGACTTACACAGGAGCTAACAGAGACTGCAGGTGAGAAGAGCTTGCCTGCAGATGTGTTTTGTTAAGTCTGCATGGCATTTTAGTGGAATTTAGTCAAGATTTTAGAATGAGAGATTTCACATAAAATCAGATTTCTTACTTGGGTTGAAAAATTGGACGATTGGCTGCCCTGAGCAAAGTACTCTGGAGTGGCCTTCTCTGCTGGATTTGAGTAAGATGCTCCCTTTCAAGGGGTCATGGGGTCTTTATCCATTTCTCCTCAGGCCCTACACTCCTTAGTCCCTCCTCAGTGCTGAGGCTGGTGTCAGATACCAGTTGTCACTGTGTGTGCAATGTTGCTGTTCTCACAGAGAGAGAAATCTTTATTTTACTATTTTTTTTTAAATTTTACTTATTTGGGAGAGAGAGAACCAGCGAGGGGGAGGGGCAGAGGGAGAGGGAGAAGCAGGCTCCCCGCTGAGCAGGAAGCCCGATGCAGGACCCGGTCCCAGGACCCTGGGATCATGACCTGAGCTGAAGGCAGACACGTAACTGACTGAGCCACCCAGACGCCCCCAAATCTTTATTTTACAGAAATCTCTATCAAAAGTGGGAAAGTGATTATGGAACAAGGAGGTGGTGTTTTGTTTTTGTTTTGTTTTCCACTGAACCACTTTATTCATTGATATAACTGGCTCCTGTGGGTGCATGGGTTCAACCTCGCTGTGATAAACCATCCATGTTTCACCAGAATATTAACCGTAGGGGCCATTAAGCCTCTAAATTCTCTACCACTTAACCTAGAAGGGAGGGAGGAAGAGGGCCTGAAGATGAAAGAATCCAGACAAAAGGTCTGCTGCTGAGAAGCTGGGAATCAGAAGCAAGCAGGGGACATTGATCCAGAGATCCATTTCCCATTGTACAAGTTCCAGAGGTTAAACCATTTGCCCAGTGTCCTCAAGGGTAAGGACAGACAGACGTCCCTTTGTGAAACCCAGCACAAAGCCTCCCAAGATTTGAGCTAAGACTGTCGTCCCTCCCTGCATGGAGTGGATGTTCCCTCCCTTTTAAACCTGGGGTGTAAAGGGACTTACAAGGTTTACTTTTAGTCCTACTTGAAGAATTGACTTGAACTGATAGTTGCAAAAATAACTTTATAAAATTATACAGGAAAGCCAAGAGGAAACAATTTCAGACAATTAAAGCAGCATGATATTTGTCAGGTTGACCAGATGCTGGAATCTTCAGAGAAGCCTGCAAGGAGAGGTCTCCCCTGTGCCTTTGGTGCTTGATACGACTTTAGCAGTGGGGTCCTGAAGGTAGCATGAGGGGGTCCCTGAGCTGTTGTCCTTTGTTTAAGAGCCTGAGCAGAAGGTATGTTTTCACACAGCAAGTCTGCCTAATCATGCCAAGGTTTGGCTTTGGCTGAACTCTGTATGACACACATTGGTAGAGCAGGTAGTTCAAAGTGTGAAGGCCATGGGGACAAATGGCTGGGAAAGGGGTGACTCATAAGTAAATACTTAGGAGCAATGAGAGGAGCCTTGAGTCAGCACAGCCTGGCCTGCAAGCCCTTTCTCTCAACCCTGGGGTCCAGGTGATACCACTGACTTCCCATTACCCAGGAAGCCGGAGAGTGTACGATTTAAATGTTGACTTTTGGGCTAAGATTTGGACTGAATTCTGTTTGTCTTTTACTAATGCCATGTAGCTTTGGGCAAATTAAACTCGCTGAGCCTTGGTTTCTGCCTCTCTGAAAGGGGAATAGTAATATCGTCTCCTTTACAGAAATGTTACAAAGTTAGATTAGATAAAGCATGTAAAGCATTTATCACAGTGCCTGGCACTGCCAGAGCTTCAGGTAAGCGACATTATTGCTTTTAGTCGTCTCTCTGGGTATTAGACTCTCTCTGAAAAGATGGCCAGAGGCCCTCGTTGAACCTTCTTGGTCCTCTTAACAACTGTTCATTTGGTCTCATCATGGTGTAGTGGCTGTCCAGTTCATCATTGATTTGGTTGATGTGCTAGGGGATCCTTGGCACTTTTATGCCTCAGTGAAGAAATTCATATTTCTAGATACTGGTTAGCAACCCACGCATCTTGGGTGAGCTCAAATAGGTGAGACCCTGACTCCACAAACAAGGAAAGAGATGAACCCATTACCCCACATGAAACAGTTTCATTCTGGGATGATTACTCACAGACCCTGTGAGTTTCATTTATTTGAAAGTCCCTTTTCCTGTTATGCCAAGTCTCCAGAGCAGATGTCCCACATCCTTCCCATCCTTGGGGAATACTGTAGCTTAGAGTTCAGAGGGTAGACTGAGTGTTGCTTGAGTTCTCTGTGCCTCGGTTCACTCACTGTAAGACAGAGATGATCCTGTCACCAGCAGCGTTGGGTTCAGTGAGTTACTGTGTGTGGACCCCGCACAGCGAGTCCTGTGTGAATGACAGCTCCTGGTTTTCTCCTCCACCTCTTCTCCGTCCTTTGCTCTACCTTCCTTATCATCTTCCTCATCGGCGTCCTCACTGTGGCCAGGCGTGTGGGTCCTCGGGCTCAGAGATGCTTTGCTTCAGCTTTCCTCTTTCTGCTCTCAGGCTGGAGGGAGGACTTCTCTCTGATGAATCCTCCCCATGTCCCCACCTTCAATTTTTCCTTCCGAACATGCCAGTATTGCCCAGATGCTAATAAGAGGGATTTTGAGGCTCTGAGAGACCTGGATTCATGTCTTGGCTCCCTCACTTTCTGGCTCTCTGACTGTGCTGAACTATGTAAGTCCTCAGAGCCTTCATTTTCTGATTGTGAAATGGAGATGTTACCCATCGCCTGGATATAGGCAGGGTTTAAGGGAGGCAATCACGTGAAGCTCTTAGGACAAGCAGTGCCTGGCTCACAGTAAGTGAGCAAGCAACAGTAGCTTCGCTGCGCCAGGCCACTTCCCAGGTGTGGATGCCCCGCTGCCGCGTGCTCGTCCTGAGCTGCCGTCCACCCGTGGGGAAGTGCTGCCGGCTGTTGAATTCAGCCCTCACGTGCAGTTTGGTTTCTCTCCTAGGAAAAGCACCTCACTTTCTGCGGCTCCAAAATGTCGAGGTGAATGTGGGGCAGAATGCCACATTTCAGTGCATCGCTGGTGGGAAGTGGTCTCAGCATGACAAACTTTGGCTCCAGGTAAGGATGGGAGTGGCCCCCTGCTCACATCTGCCCATTCCTCGGTAAGGGCAGAAAGCGTGTGCTGGGATGAAGGGCTCGGTGTGGGTAAGGGGAGGGGATATTTTGATGTACCTCTGCTCCTTGGATCATACTCTGCCTCCATTATCTTGTGAGATCTTCACTCTAATTTGGTTTTGTAGGCATGAGGGTACCCATTTTACAGATGGAGAAACTAAGACCACAAACCTGGAAGTGCCAGAACTAGAATTTATAATTATGCCCTTTCCACGCTGCCTTCTAACCAACTTTGTCCTTTAAGGCCAGACTCCCAGGGTGAAGGCAAAACTTACTACTTTAGATTCTGGGTATGTGGAATCATGAAATCTTCCCTGGAGGGACCTTAACTACCCAGTGGTCCACCAGATTCCTGTCTGACGGGTAATGCTCCTCCACAGTATTCTGGTAAAGTCTGGTAAAATCACCCTTTGCCAGAATATTTCACTACATCAGCAAAACCCTGTGTTCTTTGCCTAAAAGAGTCTCTCAAGAAAGCCAGGAGGGTGTTCTGAGTTTGAATCTGTTCTGCTCTTAGGTCTGCTCCTTGGCCTTACTTTCAAAGCAAGATAAGAGAGGATCTCTTTCAGTGGAGGTAGGGGAAAGGATGGGACACAGAATTAGACACAAATTGTTGCAGCATCAGAGATATTCCCAGGGATGCTAATGTAGAAATACCAGTGAGTAGCCACATGTGGCTATTGAATGTATTTTGGTTTTGTTTTTTATTTTACACAAATTCATTAAGGTTTAATTGAGATACAGTATTTAAAATGGGTAATTTAACACATTTTCACGTGTGTATATTTGTGAAACTGTGATCACAGTCAAGATACTAGACATATCTATCATCCTTAGAAGTTTCCTTGTTCCCATTTGAAATCCCTTCTTTCTGCCCCTCCTTACTCTCATCTGTCTCCGGGTGATCACTGATCTGTTTTCTGTCCCTGAGCAGTTGACCCTTGATCTTGCACAGATTTGAACTAGGTGGGCTCACTTATACATAGATTTTTTCCCCCAATAAATACAGTACAGTACTGTAAATGTATTTTCACTTACGATTTTCTTAACATTTTCTTTTCTCTAACTTCACTGTAAGAATACAGTATATAATACATATAACGTACAAAGCATATATTGACTATGTTATCGGTAAACCTTCTGGTCAACATAGGCTATTACTCGTTTAGTTTGTGGGGGGAGACAGAAGTCATACACATATTTTTGACTATAGTGGGAGTTGCTGTTTTTAACCCCCATGTTGTTGAAGGGTCAACTGTGTATTCATTTGCATGTTCTAAAATTTTATATGAAGTCACACTGTATATACTCTTTTTATCACTCAACAGAATTATTTTGAGATTCCTCTATAATGTGTATATATGAACTTTATTTAAATTTCTTTTTGTTGAGTAATCCTCCATTGTATGAAGATACCATGATTCCTTTATACATTCATCCGTGGATGGACATGTGGGTCGTTCATTTATGGGTTATTTAAAAACAAGTTGCTATGAACATTCACGGACTTGAATGGACGTATGGGCAAGTGCTTTCGTTTCTCTTGGACAGATGCCTAGAAGTAGAATGGCTGCGTCGTCTGGTAGATGTGTAACTTTTAAAGAACCGCTGAGCAGTTTTCCTGTATGGTTGTACCATTTTGCATTCCCATCAGCAGTGGATGGGAGCTATCTTTGCTTACCAACATCCCTGCCAACGCTTGGTATGGTCATTCTTTTTAGTTTGAGCCATTTGAATGGGTGTGTAGTGGTACCTCCTCCTGATTCTTGTTTCCCTTTCCCTCAGGACCAGTGATGTTGAACTCCTCTCCATGTGCTCATTTGCTGGCATTCATGTGTCGTCTTTGGTTCTGTGTCTGTTTCAGTTTTTTTTTTTTTTGCACCTTTATTATTGGTTTTGTTCCCTTATTATTACATTTTGATAGTTCTCTATATGTTCTGGATACAAATCCTTCATCAAATACATGCTTTGCAAATATTTTCTGTCTTCATCTGTGGTTTGTCTTTTCATTCTCTTAATTGTAGCATTGGAAGAGCAATTTTTAAATTTGGATGAAATCAAATTTATCGTTTTTTCTTTTTTGGATCTTGTCCTGGCATCATTTGTAAGAAATCTTTGCCTAACCGAAGGAGACAATGATTTTTTTCTTCTCTTTCCTTCTGGAGATTTTATAATTTAGCTTTTACATTTAGGTCTGTGATCCATTTTGAGTTAATTTTGCATATGGTGTGAGGTATGCATCGAAGTTCTTTTTTCTTTTGGCGTGCATTTAGATATCTCCATTGTTCCAACATCATTAGTTGAAAAAGAGCATTCTTTCTCTGCTGCGCTGCTTTTGTCCACAGAGGTAGGGGGCTATTCCTGGGCCCTTGCTCCTGTTCTGTTGATCTCTTTGTCTGTCTTTATGCCACTGTCACGCTGACTTCGTTAATGTAAGCTTTCTAATAAGTTTTGAAATCTGGTATGTTAGTCTTCCAGTTCTTCATTTTCCCAGTGATTATGGCTGTTCTAGGTCTTTTGCATTTCCATATGACTTTTAGAATCACTTTGTCAACTTCTACATGAAAAGCCTGTTGGGATTTTGATGGGGATTGATTGCATTGAATCTGTAAATCACTTTTGCAGAGAACTATCTTAGCAATAATGACTTTTGTGAGTCTGAACATGGTATAGTTCTTCATTTATTTAAGGTCTATGGTGATTTCACTCAGCACTCACTGTAATTTTCAGTGCATAGGTCTGACACATTTTTTTGGTCAGACTTATCCTTGGGTATCTGATATTTTTGGTATAAAAAAAATCTCCATTTCTGACTTTTACTGCTACTGTAAAGAAATACAGTTGACTTCCATATACTGATCTTGTGTCCTACGACCCTGTTAAAGTTACAATGGCTATTTACATTTAAATTAATTAAAATAAATAACGTTCTGAACTTAGATGCCCATCACACTAGTCGTGTTTCAGGTGCACAGTAGCCACGTGCGTTTAGTGGCTACCATGTTGGACAAGTGCACACAGGACATTTGCAACATTGCAGAAAGTCTTAGTGGAGAGCATAGCCTGAGCTTCAACAAAACATGAATAGTGGTTGGAAGACGCTATCTCCAGTTACCTCTACCTTCATTTATTGAAAGATCTCCACCATCTCTTCTGGCTGACCTAGTTTGGATGTTGATCCCCAGCCCATGCCCAGCCATCTCTCTGCACATGGATGGAAGTTCATGGTATTGCTTCTCTTCTTGCATTTGAACCCATTTCCTGCAGTTGGAAAATCCCTGGGTGAAAGGGCCCCTCTCGGGGCTGACCATTCTTCCTTGCTCCTTAGCAGTGCAGTAGAATGGAAATAGTAGTAGTGCCTGACCCTCTTGCTTCCCCGGGCTGCCTGCAGACCACAAGACTCACGGCAAACTTCCATGTGTCACTCAAGTATTTAGTGTTAATTAATCTTTCAGTTGTAGTTCATACTCATGTGCATCGGGCTCTCTAGAAGCTTTGTCATTTCGATGGCATTGCCTCGGTTGGGTCAGGAGACTGAGAAGGAACAATCACAATATTTTCAACACCTTTACTTAGCTTTTCCAATTATTTTATGATGATTATTGCCTCATTTCTGAGTTGCATGTCCTAAACCTTGGCTCTATCAGCAGGAGGATTTAGAAGGTAATACAAGTATTGGAGAAAATAGGAACATATGGTGTGGAGCTCTTCCACGTCGTGTTTATTTACCTCCTTTTCAGTGTAAATCAAATCTTATTTCACAGAACGTTTTTCAGGTGGCTTACAATGGGACATAAAGCATGACAAGATAGCACAAATTAAAAGTGAGGCAGCGGGAGATAGGGAAGGAACACACTGCTGCAGAGCTGGTCATAATGTTAAAACTGCGTTTCTCCACATCTGTGGCTTCCTGGGGCGGGCGGTCACGGGCGGAGCCCACAGCGCGGCAGCTGCCAACCGCATAAAGGAAACTTGTCAGATACACAGTTAAGAGTGTCCACAAGATAAACACAAACCAATTGGTCTGGAAACTTCTAACTTGTTCACACAGAAGCCAGATAGGAATTGTTCCCAGGAGTCCTCATAAAGAAAACAGTGTCTGATGTAAGGCACGGCGTTCTCTCTATTGAGGGTACACACACAAGTGAGCTTCACAGGCTCGTTTCCCATATTGGTGCTCTGTGCAAAGGCAGTTTGGGGAGATGGTCGAAGAGGGAGGGGATGGGGTTGGGCAATGTGATGGGACAAAAGTCCCCAACTCTCTGCTTATCCTGGGATACTTTAGATATACCTGGTGAGTGAATAGTTTCAATAGCTACTCCTTTAAGGAAACCACCAGAAATATTGTCTCCTTCATCTGTATTTCAGGAAATACTGGGAGGTAGATGGTTTACACTGTGCACTCTGGTAAACGCTGCTTGGCTAGTTAAGTCCAGGCTTACATTCAGCAGTGTGGTTGGAAGTGAGTTAATATCTTTGTACAAAATATGAGGCACCTGATAATGACACCTGCCTGCCGCTCAGGAGGCCGCTGCACCTGATCTGACATGGGTGGAGGCAGTAGTGAATTTCTCACGAGATGCTGCTTTGGATCTGTTCCAGCACCTGGAGGAACAGCATGCAGACTGGCCACAGCTCTGTTCCACAGATCAGGGCTTCTGTGACTCAGTCTGAAAATTTCCAAAGTAAGTGAAACAGGTATACTGTGGCCAAGAGTCTACCTTTCAACAATGCTATTTCCTTCTGTAGCTTCCAAGAGACACTGAGGTGTCACTGTTGGTCACCAAAGATAGAAACATTTTCTTATCCACCAGTTTTAAGTCAGGGAAATAAAGCCAGTGACTCTGTTTCCAGAATAGTATGTCATTGCCCCTTCTCTCCAGCAATGAGATGAAACCCTATCGTCTGTGTTGGAGAGAATGATTGCCTTCCTTTCTGTAGAG